GTGAGGTATTCAAACACAACATTCAAAGACAATAAATAAATGAAACTTCCTTGGTGACCCTTTTCAATATCCCAAATGCACAAAATTAGATTGGATAGTTCCAATGCCTGGGGCCACCCAAGCCCATCTACCTGATCCTGGCTAGGAAAATGAGCACTCCCGAAAGCTCATTGGGAGAAAGTGGCTACACCACTTTCCCCTTTGGTGGAAGCTACCCCTCCTTTCCAGCACATCCTACAGTTTCTTCCTTTTGGGCATCATTTTTGCCATGTTTTTTCTCTAGTACTTAACAAGTTAAAGAAAATAGCCATACAGAGTCATCTTCAATGGTGAATTTCTATCTTTGCAAGCAAGCCCTAAAATGAATTTGTTTAATAAGCTCAATGCTTGGTTACTCCCTGGTTACCAAGAAGGACTAGCTCATAAAGGTCCTCCTCTCTTGCTCTGGCCCTTTTAGCTACAGTATCCATAGTTAAGAATTGGTGATGGTCCAGCTGAACTGAGGGGTTAGGATGCATTGTTTTATGTTGTTTTCATTGCATTTTTATAACGGACTTTGTTTTGTGGAACAGTTTTCAATTTACAGCAAAACTGAGAGGACGTAGAAGAGTCCCATGTCCAATTTCCCCTATTATGAAACCGTGAGTTAGTATAGTACATTGATTATAATTAATAAGCCGATACTGGTACATCATCATTAACTAAAGTCCATCTTTTATTCAGATTTTTCTTAGTTTTTACTTTATGTCCTTTTACTGAACCAGAATACCATCAAGGACACATTGAGCTTAGTTGTCACGTTTCTTGACGATCTTAGCTTCAATAATTTCTCAGGCTTTCTTTGTTTTATAGGACCTTGCTTATTTTGAGGTGTATCTGTGTGTGCCATTTTTGATGTCATTTGTTTTATAACACATAGAATATGTATTCTAAATATATATGTGAGACCTTTTACACCTCAAGAAAAGAAATGGTGCTGAGAAAAGAGTGGGAGTGGGGAGGGAAATGATAGGGAAGGAAGTGAAGGAATGAGGACCCCTGAAAGGTCACAAGTCTTTCTACAGCACTGGTGAGAAGATGCCGACACTCCAGTCTTTCCCAGAGTTGACCTTTCCAAAGATACACTGAGCAGGAAGGGGGCGATCCCTGATACAAGATTCAGACACACACTTCCACCTTTAACTGAGAATTAAATCTGGAGATATTTCCTCTCGGGTTTTCAAAAGGAAAGTGAGCACATCATTAATCTAACCAGCCATTAGATGCCACTATAGCCAGATTCTATTTATCTAGGCCAGTGTTTGAGTTGAACAAGGGCTAAGGTGACATCAGATTAGAGTGACATGGAGAGCCAGGGTTGTGGTCCCAAGAGGACCAGGGATTTGTCTCATCTAGAAGCATGAAGTTCTCAGCCTCCCAACACCAAGAAAAGCGGTGGGATGTAAGCCCATCTCTTCAAAGATGATGCTAGGGAATTGTCTCCCTCCTTTTCCTGGTTTTGTATCTCTCCTCCTACATTTTCTACAAGCTCAGGGGCCAAGGAGTAAGGACAGATAGTCAGTTTAGGAATATGTGGTCACCTCCGATGATTAAGAAAGAACATTCACTTCTTCCCCTGTCTCAAGTCTTATCTGGGGACAAAATAGCTTATCGCTCATTCATTCTCTCTCTCTCTCTCTCTCTCTCTCTCTCTCTCTCTCTCTCTCTCTCTCCCTCCCTCCCTCCCTCTCCCTTTCCCTCTCTACACTGGGGATTTGACCCAAGAATTTCTTACTGAGATACACCACAAGCCTTTTATTTTTCATTTTGAGACAGAATCTTGTTAAGTCATTAAGTTGACTGGGCTGGGCTCAAACTTGGGATCCTCCTGTTTCAACCTTCCAAATAGGAAATATTGCCTCTTAAAGGACTTATAATTACTAAGACATCCAAACACACAGCCATTTGGTACCCGTCACATCCTTCCAGGCTCCTGGATGGTATATGTAATGTTATTAAATTATACTTTATGTCTCAGTTGTGGAAGTACCCCAAGTTTTCCAGCTCATACACATGTTTTATGAGCCTGTCTCTAACCCAGAAGGTCTATAGAAAGTAAAATAAATGACTCCAATGTTCTATTCAGTATGCATCATCTGACATTTATTCTCAGAGAGGGTAAGTGACAATATGAAAGCTACAGTCATACTGTAGGAATTCTGGAGCTTGATATACCAATCAACAAATCAATCAATTTTACAAAGCATCTACTGGGTGCTACACAAAATAGGAAGATTACTTCTTGTCCTCAAGAAGCATGTAATGGCTGAGGAAATAAAACCACATCCCTCTCCTCTTGGGACTGATAGATGAGGTAGTCCCCTGATTGACAAAGGAGGACACCATAGACAATTTATTTTGTTTTCCTGCGAATTTGGAACTTCAACACAGAACTAACACTTTTGTCAGGTCTCTATGTCTTCTACTTTAGAACAAAAATGCTCACTTTCAAAAGAGTATTACACAAATGATACTAATACAAGAAAATTGAAGTTCTAATGAATGAAACTTGTTTGCTCATTTGATTGATTTTTTTTGGTGTAAGTCGTTCCACTGTGGTGCCTGTAATTTGTAAATGTACCCCAAAGCTTCATGCATTGGAAGTTTGGTCCTCAATAAGGCAACATTGAAAGGTGGAGGGACCTTTAGGTGAAGGAGCCTACTGAGAGGTTACTAAGTTATTGGGTACTCTGCCTGGAAAGCTACCAAGGTAGTTCTCCTGAGACCCAGGCTTCTTCTCTCACTAGATGTCCTGGTCTCTTCACACACTGTCACAGGATGGACCACAATAACATGGTGCAGCATGGTGTCCACATGAGATCTAGCATCATGCTCTTTTGGGCTTTCAGTCCTGAAAACCATGATCTAAGTAGACTTCTTTTCTTTATATTCATTCTAGTAATAAAACATGAACTAATACAGTGCCCAAGCACCTGGAGACCTTCTGCTGGGAAAATTCACTAGACTGAAGCATTTCTTCACTTTCAGAAGTTCCTTTCAACGTCTTTCAGAGAAAATATCACACTTTTTCAGTTTGTTCCTAACTATTGCTTTTAACTAATCTTTGGATGGAGGCCCAATGACACAAATAAGAGCCCCAAGCATAATAATATAAAAGTCATTATTTATGGGGTCTTCAAAGGGCCAGGTCATGCTAGAACCTTGGGATATTGTCATAATCTGAACACAAACCATGTAGAGTAGTTATTAATACTCCTATTTTCATAGGAAGTCCAGAAAGGGCAAGTAATTAACAAGAGTAATAGAGCTTGTGAGTTCCAGTAGTTGGATACAGCTCTAGTCTTGAGGGCTCCGAGGCCCTTGACTCAGTCATGACATCATAGTATGTCCCTGAATGTTCAGGGCAAGTAATGCGCTCTGCATCCAAGACTATCCAGAAATTCTAGAAATTCCAGCAAATTTATAAATGTCCTCCTAGCAAATTTTGCAGAAAGTTTTGGCATAATGAAGTATATTTCTACTTATACTGAGAGAGCAAATGGAAAGTCCTATTGTTGCTCCTTAAGTTCATGATAAAATTGGAGGAAGATTAGGTTAAGTGCTGCTATAGTTTGGATCTGGAGTGTTCTCCAAATACACATGTGTTAAAGGTTTGGTTGCCAGCCTGGTGGCATTAATAGAAGGTGGTGGAATGTTTAGGGCAGGGCCCAGTGGAAGGAAGGTAGATCCCTGGAAGTGTGTTCCTGAATGGGATATTAGTCTCCAGCTGCTTTCTCTTCTTGTCTCTGCTTCTCAGCTGCCATGAGGTGAGCAACTTCCTCTGTCAGGCATTCCTGCAAAGCATCAAGCCAGCCAACCACAGGCTAAAACCTCTGAAACCTTGAGCACAATAAACCTTTCTTCTGTATAAGTTGTTTGCCTCAGTTATTTTATCACCACAATGGAAAGCTGATTAACACAGGTGCTAAGGTCAGAAATAAGGTCTTATTCATTCTGTTGTGCAGGTTGTAAGGGAAACATAGTCTTTGGCCCACTACCCTCAGCTTTCCTGGGCTGGTCCCTCTGCTGTAGAAAGAGGAAGAGGGGTTCAGTATGGTGTAAAGCAAGAGTATGTTTATTCCAGAAAAAAATGGTACAAAGCCACTCCAAAGAATAAGGACCTCAAGCTGGGTAGCAGCTGAATATGGGGCAGTGGTCCTATTTTGGGGGGCCCATCTCACCCCTCCTGGGTGGTATCAGCTTATTGCTAGGGGTCTATAATGAAAGTTTTGGGAGGGGGAGTGAAGTCTTATTTTTGCCTGCCTTTTTTGGAGCAGTTCCTACAAAGAGGAACTTAGCTAATCTCTGCATGTATCTGGCCTACATGCTAACCAAGGACAGTCTAGGTTAACTTTCTCTCATTCTTAAGGGAACCATCCCTACATTATCCCTGCTTTTTGGGGTCTAATCCCTACACTATTCTCCAAGCTCATTGTAAATTATGACTGTTAAGATTGCCAAAGTGCCAAAGACCAAGAGGAGAGCAAGGTATTCAAAGTTCCTGAGACTCTTCAGCACTCAAGTGACAATACAGGGATATAGAGGTTTGCTGTGCTTGCAAAAAAAGACAGGTGATGTTTAAAGCTTTCAGAAAATGCAGTGTGCTCCCTAATACTCTATAGGGTGGTTGTATCCCGGCTCCTTTAATGACACAGGGTGCAAAGAACTGCCAGTGGCATTCAGCTGCCATCAGCCTGCTCTGTAGGAGGCCCTGAGGTTGGTATGAGGTTCAAGGCTCTGGGTCTATATGAAGCAAGAGGCCCCTTCAGGATGCCAGCACAAGCACTGTCATTGATTTTTTTCACTCCTATGAAGCAGCTTCCAGCTGGCCTCCAGGGCATACTGTCGATAGTTTCAAAGGTCACACCAACGTTGCATGTACAGGGAGGCTGAGCACAGCCACTGCAAGGGGGCTTGGTAGTGAGCAGTGACACCTCCTCCACACACACAACCCCTGGAAACTTCCACTTATCCTGAATTAACAGAAAGATGTTTTCCACTGTAGTGTCTCCCTGCATTTCCCCACCTGGGATGCTGAGCATGCCTGAAACAACATCTGTGTGTGTCCTGTGAGCCTACATATTCCAATGTGACTATCTGTGTTGCGGAACATGACGTCTCTCTGGAGCTCTGGCCTTTCCTGATACATTTCTTCTCCCCTACCTGGAGGCACTCTGATGTCTGGAGGGCAGATGGAGACCCACAGGTATCCTGGGCAGATCAACAATTAGGAGCCTTTCAAACTGATATATTTAAGCATTTGCTTGCATTTATTTAGTGAATATGGAAAGAAATGTATTTAGCAATAAAATCACATACCTTCATTTTTCAAATTTTACCTCAGAAATACATCCATGTGAAATAGTAAACAATTCAAATATCATTGAAATAGAAGAAATATGTAAGCCCCCAAGTGTATTCCTACACTCCTGTGTCTCTCCTTTGATGTAAGCATTATAGAACAGTTAGATGTACATATTTCCAGGTAATATTCTCTACCTATTTCCATATATTGATATAAAATTAGATTTTCACACAAGATTATGTTACATATACATATTATCTGGTATCCTGAATTTTATTTTTTACTTAATTCACCTTAAAGATCTTTCAAAGCCAGTATACAACATTTCTTTTAGCAAACTGCTTAGTATTCTACTGTACAGACATACTATAATTTATTATAAAATAATTCATGTATACCTAATTTTTTCATTACCATAAATATAATTTTGGTGTATGATTTTGTATATACATCTTCCAGCATTAACAAAAGTAATTTTGTAGATTGGATTTCTCAAATTAAAATTATTTGTTGGAAGGATGTGTACCTTTTAAATTCTAGCTGCCTTGACTTTGGTATGACCTTCTGCCACGTTTTCCTTTCAAAGGGGCTAATAGATGATTCACCAACGGTAGACAGCATATTTTCTTGTATCCTCACCTGCTTAGGATGTATCAGTCCTTTAAAATTTACCATTTACCAATTTAATGTATAAAATAAACAATCTAGCTTTAATTTGGATTTCTCTGTTTATTAGAAAGTTTCAACATTTACATATATATATATTTCCTATTTGATTTCTTATTCTCTAAATTCTATTTCCTATTCTCTAACTTCTCTAATCATTTTCTTTGTTTAATTTCCTGCACAGTTATTTTTTTATTTTTCTTATGGATGTTTTAAAATTTATATTGATACAAATATTTCTCTCAATCCATTTGTCTTTTGTTCCAATTTTTGTTTGTTTTAATGAAGTCAAAAATGACAACTTCTTCAGAAACTCTGGGATTTCCTGTCTTATTGAAGAGTACAGTACTTTCTACATCCTAAAATTATTGTATTTTAGTAATTTTTATCAACTCTTAAATTCATGTCAAAATTTTGTATACTATGAAATAGAGGTCTAATTTTCCACGTGAATACCATCCATCTTCATCACTGATTGATCGGTCCATTGTTTTTCCTCCAACTCCAAGTGCCATATTTGCCATAAACTCTCCATTACATGGTTTATTTCTTCCCTTTTAGTCTATTCCACAGATCTCTTTCTTTCTTACAGTTAATATACCTTTAGATTATGTGTGGAAATTTGGTGGGGAAATTATTTTTCCCACCTTAAATTTCCTTTAAACTGTCTTCATGATTCTCTGTAATGTCTCTCCTGTATAATTTTAGAATCTGCTTGCCCTATTTTGTTTTAAATACTCTGAGGATTAATTGTAAGTTATATCAGTTGCTCACATTCCTCAGCCTTCCCATTCCTTTTCATTCCAGACACTGATAGATTATTTCCTAAAAATAAACTCCCTGTAGGTAAGGATTTTACTTTCTGGGGAAGCTGTCCCTAGCCCAAGACAGTAAAGTATTAAATACTGAGTGGACAATTGATGTGGGGGGATGTCTTTATTGTTGAGTCTTCTTATTTCTGAGGAATCTTTGATTATGAAATCTCATAACCTTTTATAGCTGCATTGATACAGGTCATGCATATTTTCAGTTAGTTTTATCACTAGAGATTCGATATATGTGTTTTGTTGCTTATTAAAATGGACATTTCTCTACTGTATTTCCTAGTTTTTGAGTGTTTAGAAATGCTCCTTTTGTACATTTATCTTGCATTCAACCAACCACATTCAGATGTATTTTAATTTACTTGGATTTGTTACGTGTATAAACATATCAGTTGTAAAGAGAGATAGTTCTGTTTCTTCTATCACAATATTTACCTACTCAGTTTTATTTCTTTATTCAGTGACTGAGACTGAAATGTAAAATTCCTCTCTTATCTATGTGTTCACATCAATGATTTCACCTAACTGTGCTCAACTGTTGTCCCAAAATATTAAACAGAAAATCCAGAAATAAGCAACTCAAAGGTTTTCTATTGCATGCCATTCTGAGCAGTGCAATGAAATCTCATGCTGACCTCTCAGTCCCATTTGGGATGGGAATCACCCCTTTGCTCACCATATTCTATATTTGCCGCTCTGTCACTTAGTAACTGTCTCAGTTATCAGATCAGCTGCCTTAGTATCACAGTGCTGTGTTCATATGACCCTTATTTTAATTAATAATGGCCTCAGTGTGCAAATATTGGGATTGGGAATTGAATTTGGATTTGTCAAAGAAAAGCTATAAAGTGATTCCTTTGAGTGAAATGGTAGAAATTCTTGACTTATTAAGCAAAAGGAAAAAAAAATTGCAGAGTTTGCTAAGATCTACACACCTACAGTACAAATATAGTAGCAAAATGTTATTATAATTATTCTGTTTTGTTCTTATTGTTATCATTTTCTTGCTCTGCCTAAATTATAATTTGAACTCTAGTATAGGCAGCTATGTATACATATATATTAAAAAACAACATGGTACATACAGAGATTGCAGTTTCAGGCGTCCATCAGGGGTCTTGGACCCTAACCTTAGTGGAGAAGAGGAAATTATTGTATTTCTGATTTTACATCATTAATATAGATTTCTTTACCATTCTATTGAATTGAAAAGTTTTCTTCTTAGCTTACTATGGCTTTTAAAATTATGAATGAGAGATTAATTTTATTTAATTCCTATTTCATCTCTAATAGCATTTCTATCTTTATTTGTGAAATTTGTTAAAGTAATAGAATTACTCAGATTTAGCTATCTTTTCTTTACTAAGATAAACTTAGTAAAAAGCATCAAGATTATATTTTATTCAGAGTTTTTCTATGTTCATATGTGAAATTTTCAATTTTCTGTTACTCATTCTTTTATAAGAAGGAAGATATTTCTATTATAGAATGAGTTGGGAAAGTTTCCATCTTTTTCTAGGATCTGGAATATAAAAATTATCTTTCTTTTTAGGAGTTAGTACAACTTGCCTGTAAATGGTCTAGCTCTGATATCATTTTTAGCATATTATTTTATATTTTTAAAACTCTTTTCCAAAAGTCTGGTCTTTTCAGTTGTTCACTTGAATAAATCTTTGATTTATCTTTACTAGATAAAATTCTACTTTGTTAACAATTTAGAATGTACTAATCTTTACCTAATTTTATAATTCCCTCCTGTCTGAAGCTGTATTTGCTTCCACATTTTCAATATTATCTATCTTTGCATATATCATTTCCTTGACCATTTTGACCAGACATTTTGCATTTTCAAAGAACCAAGTATTAAAGCTAATTTTTTATTTTATTAATTTTTGAATGTGTTGTCATCAATTTTGTTCTATTTTCTCTGGATTTATAGGACCATCTTATTTTAGTTCTTGAGTCTCATATTTATTTCATTTAATTTTAATCATTTTTTGTTCTCTAGTACATATTATGGCTGCCTTTAGTTTCCTTATTTTTAAATTACTCTCATTTTTCATGAATTTATTATTTTCACTTTGATATTCTCTGGAACTTTTATTAGTCTTTATGATCTGTACAATTTCCTATTGGAGAGAGTTGTAGAAAATTTCTTTTTGACTTAATGCATGGTCAATTTTGTAAATATCTCATGCATGTTTGAAAGTAGTATGAGTTTTCATACACATATAAACAAATTATTGTTATCTTACAACATTACTCATTTTTCATTTATTCAGCATATTCTTAATTTATGAAGTTCTGAGAAAATTCAGACAAATTCAGGCTTTATCACACTTACCACATCCTTCTTTCAAATCTATTTCTATTACTTTTTGCTTTATATGTTTGGAAGCTATGTTGGTGGGTACATAGAACTTCTTGTTACACAAAGAACTAAAAACTCTTGTCCAACATGCCACTTTTACTGGGGGCACAGAAAACAGCTTAATGCACCTTGAATGGAGGCTGTGTTCCAGGAGAAAGTGTTGGGAAATTAAATAGAGGGTCAGAGTACCATGCTCTGAGTTTGGCTTTTGTTCTCTAGGTAATGGGGTGCACTAAACATTTTAATTGAGTTGATGGTAAGATCTGTCTTTGTTTTAAAATAACTACCCCAGCGGCACTGAAAGAATGGGAGTGTCAAAGGTTGAACAGACTGGTAGCCAAAGAGAGGCCCAAGGTCCTGGCGATGTCTGGAAAGTAGGTGAGAGGGAAGAGAGGAAAGGGCTAAAATGTAAAAACAAACTGTTAATCAACAATTACACTCCAGAGAGGCATTCACAGTGGAAAAGATTCTGCAGACCAACTCACCATGGAGGCTGTGGGTCATGGCACAGGGACCCCAAGTGTTCAGTATTGAGAGAGAACATCTTCCCTTACAGAGGAGAGGATTATGAAACCCAAATTCTGCAAGAATAGCAACTCAGGATGACAGAGATGCTCCAGAATGACATAACAGGTTCATAAGAGAACTTACGCTTGGCTTATTAGGAAAGACAAAGTATATCAGAGCCCAAAAGTGGACTCTAAGAAAGGTTGGTGTCTTAGGGCTTGATCAGTCAACTAGATGGCTATGTGGAGCTCTTTGTTTCTTTCTGCCCCATGAGAAATGTAGGTGGGATAATTGGAACAGATGCAGCTATTTGTGCCACCATTGGCACCATCCCCCTGCTCTTCAGTAGGGGACAAGCAGATAGACCTGGACCCTAAACACAAGCAGCCTAGGCATTGTGAAGGTTCAGTGGAGCAACTGTCTTCTTAGAGGCATTGTGGTGCCCAAATTTAGGAGAAGGTGATTATTGTTCTACCACTCAAAAAGAATGCTCAGTCTTCACTATGCCAATGGCAGACACTCTGCCACTGCGTGGCCTCCTGGGAATCGCTGTGGGTTAATACCTCCTCCGGAAGAGGCAGAGCAGAATGAAGCTATATTTCTCTGTCAGAAGCTAACCCAACATGGAATGTTCCGGGGAGGGAGAAGGAAGAAAAACAACAGAATAAATTAAACTTAGAGTTACAGTGTTGACCTTGACTATTCCGTCTGTTTTCAGAACTTTAGGGTCAAGCAACGTCTGTTTCCAATTAATTTTCTTCTTTATCATTTTCCTTAAAAGAAAGCATGCCTTTAGAATCAAAGACTTCTCTGTATTTAAATAAATAAATAAGTCTAAAAAAAGTGTCACCACTCAAATTCTTTTGCCATAACATATGAATAATTTGGGTAAATAACAGAGTAAGTAACAATGTATAGATTGTTACAAAGGGGTTTAAAGAGAATGGCAAAAATCTACCACTCTTTTACAGAATAGTTTTCTTTTTCAGAAAAGTTACACAACTAATAATTTTAGAAAGGCACTAGCAATACCGGTAAAGCAGCATATGAATATATTTTGTTTGAGTTCAAAGTATTTTTAAATTTTTCTAATTCTTTCTAGTGCCAACGTTTTAAAATCAGAAGTTTTCATATAAATATCTAAATTCCTATATTACTTTGAAAGCTATAGATACATGACAATATTTCCTCCCAAATCCACAGATAGTAAGTGGCAGATGTCCCAAAGATGCACACACCCTTATTCACTAGGATCTCTTCCACTTAGCTAAATCCTGGAGACATTTGCCATTTATCATCATGTTTGCATGACATTTCTACAAGGAGTGGAATAAAGAAGAAAATAACACCAGGCTTCTACAAAAGAAAGCAGAAACATATTAGCTATGTCTTAAAGTCTTAGTGTTTCAAAGCGATTGGTATATTCTATGTCTGGCCAGCATTATTATTTTTTTTCTGGTACCGGAGATCGAACTCAGGACCTTGTGCTTGCAAAGCAGTAGCAGACCACTGAGCTAAATCCTCTGGCCCAGCATTATTTATTAATGTGACTTGTCTGCCCTCTGTCCTGGCCATTTCCATGTACAACACAACATACCCTTGGCTTTGGATGTAGCTCAGCATGACACCGGTGAGAAACACTCCTTTAAGGATTACCATTTATTCTGAGAATGTTGGATTCGTTTTCCCTTGAGTTCCCAGTGCCCAAAAGGTCACAACAGGAGCAGATGAAGGGTTAAGACAACATGGAATCTCTGCCAGTATGCATGCAAAGGAATGCTTGATAAGATGTAACCACCACAAGATAATGAAAATTCAAAGCTGTTCCATTCCTCTCTCCTAGCTTTTGGTAGCCTGGAGTATTCCTTGGCTTGTAGATTCATCATTCTGTCTTCGATCTTTCCTCGGTGCTCTTACCATGTATTTCCCTCTGTGACTATCTACCTCTGTGCTCAAATTTCCCCCTTCCATAAGAACATCACTCCTGTTGGATTAGGGTCCATTCTAATGACCTCAGTTTAACTTTACTTCCTCACTAAAGATCCTACTTGCAAAGAAGGTCATGTTCTGAGGTACTGAGCTTAGGGCAGAAGGAAACAATTCAACCCATCATGGTATCCCTTTGGGAAGTCTCCAAGCCTGAGATTTTGAAGGCTATGTAGAAACTGAAGATGAGATCTTAGACCACAGTGGAGAGATGTTGGAATATGATCTCAACATCAAGACAGGATCCTCAAACAGCCGTACCCTCAGTTAAAAGGAAGGCTCTGAAAAAAAAAAAAAAATATATATATATATGCATAGACTACTATTGAGAAAAAATACAGAGCTCCCTCAATGGTCTGGATCTAAATGCTTAATTCAGGATTTACAACCCCAGCCCAAAACTGTTTGAGGTTTGAATATGCAATTCCTAGGGAATCCAGAAATTTGAAGCCCAAAAAATTAATACAAAATTTGTCTTGGTCTGTTCATAATGTTGGATGTCAGAAGAAGCAAATGACAGTAAACATCCATAGGAGACAGAGGTCCCACCTGAGTTTTTACAGATAAATACATTGACAATGACAATGAGCTCATAATTAAAAACTAAAAAGCAAACAAGAAAGTAGCAGATTGGGGATGCAAATCAGCGAAAACAATACACAGGGAAATTGGAGCCCCCAAAATGACACAATGAAATACTAATTCAAAAGTTATTATATTAAGTTTTTTTAAAAAAAAGTATAAGATTTTTTAAAAGAATTGAACACCTGGAGTAGGAGCAAGACAAACACTTTAAACACAGAACACATGGATTTTTTAAAAAGAAATTACATTGGTAAAGAATCAATAAATAAAAAAACAGTCATTAAAATGAGTAGATAGGTCAAGGAGCAGATTAGACATAGCTTAAGATAAAACACATCTAGAACCCATAAATAAACTTGAAATTACATTAATTTCTCATCGTCTATATCTTTAAAAGGAATATAAGGAAAACAATAGTCATTATTGATGACTCAGAGATGTCCACTAATTGTAGCCTTTCTCCATATATAAAAGGAGCACACAGTGCCATTATCATACCCAAGATACTTAATATCAATACTGTAATATTATGTAACATATGGTCCATGTTTGTACTCATCCTTCTGTCCTAAAAATGTCCCTTTTGGCTTTTTTCTTTTCAGATTCCAGTCTAGGACCTTGTAAGAGTTCGCCCTTCATCAGCAACGAGCATGTCCTGTACCTAGATCTTAGTTTCTGCATGCCATTCACTGCTTAAAGGAACCAGTGCTTCTTGCAGAAATGATCAATTCCAGTCCTGGGAAATAAAGAGCCAAGCTGTCTTTGAAATAGCTTATGACAAGGTCATATGCTTATGAGCAAGGAGGTGCTCAAAGCTAAATGGGTTCCTACTGTCAAGATTGGAGACACTTTGAGCATCAATGAGAACAAAGATGGTATGGATTACAAGATACTGGCTGAAAAATAATCTGCATGTCTATGGTGATAGATTTTTGTTTACATATCACCACCAACTAATAAGTGTGGAAGTAATGATTGAATTAAAAAGCACCATTTTGGGAGCACAAATATAACCACTGAGTTCATCATAGATTGTTCTAATTGTTTTCTATTCATGCAAATTTGTTGGGGGGAAAGAATATTTAAATGCTTCCCAAATTTCATCCCTCAGGTAATTCACTAATTATAAAAGGCTCAAGGTACTTCTCCAGTGGAAAGACTGGGCAGTCAGCACTGTAACTAGGTGAACATGCTTAGTATCTCAAACTAATGGGACAAATTGATGTCATGTTCCTCCTGATGCAGTGCCATAGGAAATGCACATCATCACCTGAATAATTACTCTTGTACTCTAATTGTACCAAAAAGCTGAAAAGAAGCAGCTTGGCAAGACACAGAAGGAAGGAGGCAAGGTAGAAATGGATCCCTGCACTTCTCAGGGAGGGAAATTTAATACAAAGCACATTGCTTCTCTCTCCCAAGATTCTTTCCTTCTGAATGGTCCTGGGAATGAAGCTAATGCTGCTTCCCCTGGCATTTTCCCATTAAAGCAGTAGGGGTCCTGTGTATAGCTATTATTTAAATTTGTGATAATGGGGACTAGTTTGGTGCAAGAACATTTCATTTAGATTCATAAAGCAGGAATTGAGGTACTTTGAGTTTGATGGAGGCAAATGGAACCAAGCACAGATGATTTGGGAGTCTTTCTCTTTTGTTTATGACCTCATGGCCAGGAAAAGAGACCCCAGCTTCACCTACGGCAGTGGTGGCAAACCTGTGGCATGCATGCTACAGTGGGTGTGCAGAGCCCTCTTTCTTGGCACACAAGCCAAGTCACCCCGAGGAGCCAAGTGGCCCCAGCATCACCCCAGCAGCTGAGCATTCAGGGTTAACTGCAGCGTTGGCGCTTTGTGATAAATAAGTGGGCTTGGGGTTGCAATTTGGGCAGTCTCTAAATGGGGGCCAAGGGCAATTTCCAAAGCAGACTTGACTGTAGCTTTGCTCCATCATCTCTCCTTGGATCTCATGATTAACCAGAATGGGTTCTGGACACCTGGGCACTGGAGGTCTCTCCAGCTTAGGGTGTCTGAATATGAAGCCACCAGGATAAAAAGTGACTGGGCTTCCTTTAGCCACAGTGGGGAAAGGACTTCTATGCCTGTTTGTCCTTATTTTACCTTTCACAGGATTTTTTTTGGCAGGTTGTAAAATACATCCTCTCTCCCCAGAAGATTTTCTGTTGTGCTGCAGTCCATCTAAGCAAATATGTATTTACAACGAGTTCTTTTTAAAAACATGCATTATATGCCTAATAGACTGAAATGACTCTTTGGGGGAAGTGCGGCATAGATCCCGGCAGTTTTTTGTTGTCTATAACATTCACCTCTTTTATATGGCTATTTATTTTTCTGCTGGTTTGGATGGCAAGAAGGGCTATGAAAAGGAAAAATCATATACCCACATATGAAGTGCAGTATATAAAACCAAGAGGTTGGACATACAGTACTAATGATCTTTGAGGCTGATATGAATTTGAGCTCTGTACTAAAAAAAGTCAAAAGGGGTAAGAAAAGTCTCTTCATCTTGGCTGTGGCTTAGTTTGTAAGTTGAAAGTTTGGAGACAAACTTCTGTATTAGAATACTGGGAAATCTCAGACAAATAAGTTAAGCAGTAGGGGAATCCTGTTCTCTAAAATAAAAAATTCAGGAACAATAGAGCTTCAGGGAAGTTTAACCCTGTAGTTTAATAATATCTACCAGGATCCAAGTTATTGTCATTCTTTCACTTTGGTACTGTTGGGGCCTCAGCTTAAGGCCAGGCAAGAAGACCATAGTAATCCTGTGTGTCACATGCTGATATAATCATGGCCAGCAGAAGAAAAGAGACATCTTTCTTTTTGTGTCTCCTAAAAAGTAACTTTTCCTCTTAGAAGAATCGCTTCCACTTCTCATTGCGGGCCTACAGTAAGGTGATCACCAGGAAAAGAAGTAGAACACAATGATTAGCCCTGCTCAGATGGTATCGAGCTTTTGTTCATGCAGAGTATGTGTATCAGTATTTACCCTACTAGAAGTTGAAACTGAAAATTTTAAAAGTATCTATTAATTCATTTTAAAATGAATTTGTTAATAGGAATGGTATATATTTAGGAAAAAACACATTTTTGAAAATAAAAACATAGGGAGAGACCTGGTATTCTTTTATGTCTTTGTAACTTTCTTTAATATTTGGTTTGACACAGGCAGCTGACTTTTCATACCTGTTTTGCTTATAATCAATTGTGATACATTGCTTGATTCAAGTCTGTAAAGACATCTGGCCTTAAGTCAATATGTAGTTGTAAAAGGGAAGACTACTTTACCAACATCTTTGGATAAATAGGGTTATTCTTCTTTGATACTACACTAAAACAAAATAAGTGGTAGCTTTGTAAAGATTATGTGGAATCTGAACCCATATCGAACAACTTTTGGTATTGTGTCACATTAAAATATATTATTCTATTTCACTCTTTGAGCAGATTTTTACACAGGTATGTTTTTGTAACATTGGGAATGGATCATTTGATTCATTTGTTGATGCAGATTTTGCAATATTGACATATCTTGTTATAAAATATTGGAAATATCATATTCATTAATATCTGAACTAATACCACTAAAAACTTCTTAAAATATTGGGGAGCTATTAAGCTCAGAGTTGCAAATTCATTGTTCATGAAAACATTATTTTATTTAAAAGCATAATTTGTATCATGGGCAACAAGTACTATTAGCCTTTTTCCTTTGCTCATTTTTCATAAAAATATCTGCCAAATACTGCAGTCGGAAAAACCATACTTTGCTGGGCATTTAATAAAGTAAAACTGGTGTTCCATGGAAAAAGCTGGCTGGGTTAGCTCAGAACTCAATCCACTACCCAGTGACTTTTCTAGAGATTCCTGTGTCCACTGTATGCAGATATGCAGCAGAAATTATTTATTTGTACTTTCCTTTCTCCATTTAGAATAATAAAATGACATGTGTACAAAAGTTGAGATTTAACAAAAACAAAATTTTTTTGCTGTTTAATCAAAGATTCTCAAATAAAACTGAGCTTTAAATTTTTTTAGCTATGAGTACATGGCAGTGAAGAATACAGTGTTCACTAGTACAGATTGGTGTCACTGCTTTGATTGGTACTGAGGCACCAGCAGTTTTATTTATCATTGCTTTTTACCCTGAGAGCAAATGCCAATATGGACAAAAGCAAATATTGTCCTAGCATTATGAAGAAAATAGTTTTAACGTCAAGAATTTCCTTGGGAGGGTCTTTAAAACCCCTGAGACTCTGAAGAACACATTTTGGAAGTCAATAAGTTTATACTACCTGGAGCTTTCTTCTGCAGATAAATTCATGGTGTTAAAAATTATATTGGGGGTCTGGGTACCCAAACAATCATGGTCCTTGCCAGGAGGAAAACAGTGCAAACAACAGATGGTTAGGCAACCAAAAGTCATTTTCGACAGCAGACACCAAATAATAACAAGTAATGTTGAACATGTTACCTTTCTAAAACTTCTTCAAAAGATCTCAGAACTAGTCTCTCCCCCCAAGTCTCTCTGTCTCTATCTCTCTCCTGCCTCCTTCTAGGAGGACTGGAACAACTGGAAGGACTGCTTATGATATAAGGTCATAGATTTGGCCAATCAATTAGCCAGATAACCCTGGCAAAGATGACATGCTTAGAGACAAGAATGTTAAGACATGATCCCAGTACAAATAGATATTAAAACTTCCGGGGGAGGACAAGAAATATTCATTTATTCAGCCAACAAGAAATGTTTGCTCTGTACCACTGAACCAAGCCCTACAAACACAGATGTGAATAAAACATGGTATAGTTATCACATAACTCACATTTATATTAATGAAATAGTATTTTGTGTGCATCTTTAATGTCTAACCAGGCATCTGACAACTTTGAAGAAAACACAGAAGTTCATCATCAGTGTGTGACTGTGTCATCTAGTCTTGGACAGCAGGGAGAATTTCCTCAAGGAAATAACAAGTGCCCAGAGAGCTAGGGGTGATCCGGGAGAGGAGCTGGAGGAAAAAGTGTTAGAAAAAGAGATGACAATGGCCAAGACTTGGTAACTCCGAGATGGGAAGGAGCTCAATCAGTATGTTTAGGGAAAAAAGAAGACAGCATTCCTGGACAAGAAAGAGTAAGAAGAGATAGGCTGAAGATGAAGTTAGAGGGTGAAGTTGGTCCTGGACCATAAAGAACCTCACTGGCCAAGTTAAGAGTTTTCAGTTTCATTCCAAGAGAAATAGGAAGCCATTAATGGATTTAATCAGGATCATGACATGATGAAATTTCCTAGCTTCATAGCACAGAATGGTGAAGAATGAGCAAGAATATGTCTGGGGAGAGTATCAGAAGACTGCTGAACTGAGTAGCCATGTGAGGAAACAGATCCATAAAGCTCCTTGCTTGCTCCATGTGCCTTGCTAACAGTGAGGTTGGGGGTAGGCTCAAAAGACAACAGGACATTGCAGTCAAGGACACTAATGTGTACAGAGCACAAGGAAGCAATACCTGCTGTGAGGTGATTGGACAGAAACGGATTACATCAATTTCTGTTCTTATAAAAATGAAAAAAATACATATCAAATGGAGGAATAAAAAATTAAAAGAATATTCTCTGAGCAGGAGAGGTGGCCCTAGAGTCAGCAGTTAAAGGATATATATGTTGGGAATGAGATATGAGAATAAATTGAACCAGCCCAATGGATATCTTGACCAGTTATCTATCTTTCTTTCTTTCTTTTTCTCTTTCTTTCCTTCCAACTTCCTTCCTTCCTTTTTTCTTTCTTTCTTTCTTTTTCTTTTTCATTTTTTTGTTTTCTTCCCAAAGGAATGGGTGACTCTGCTGAGAAAGGATAAGAAAATCATCTGTCACCTTTACTTCCTGAAAGTACTGTTGATTCTCTCAAGAATCAACTAGGAAGAATACAATTATCCCATTTTGGAGTCATTGCCTAGCTAGAGTCACTTCTGCTAGAACTTCGTCCCATCCCCAGCTAAATTTATCCCAATGATTGGA